CAGATGGTTGAATTAGTCGAATAATTGAAAAAAAGAGATGTTTTACATAATTTTATACTTATGAACGTGAAACAAAAGATATAAAATGAAACAAGCTTTTTTATAGTTCTATATGTTTTAATGAATTTCAACTTTTAAACAGGCTTCGTTTGTATGGTAATGTGATTATTTAGATAAAATGCTTCTACCTATTTGTTAGCGGAGAAGTCTGATTTCATACTAACAATTCGTAGGCAAAAGGTTTGAAAAGCAAAAAAGCGGGCAGGATTATTTTCTGAGGGAAACTAGCTTATTCCTTGATAAAGAGGTTTTTGGCTTTTCCCGAAGTGGTATTGGTTGTACAGTGTGCACAAGTTTTTTGTCAGTTTAGTTCTCCAGACATCACTTTATACGTCGAGAGTAAAAAAGCAACAAGTTATTTCCTGGCTGATGTGTCTGTTCTGGATTCATGGACGTGCACTACGGTTCTGGGACATAGGAGAAGCTATTTGTAGATGTAGTGAAAGCTTGTAGAGAGGAAAGGCTTGACAGAGGCGTAACGACCGAAAGTAGGTTGAAATGACGGAATTTTGGTAAGTTTGGCTTCTGCAGCTTCCAGCCTTGCATCTACTGTCAAAATAACGTCTTCTTGAAAAAATGTCTTAAGAATTCTCAACAGCATGCAGTTAAGAAATTTTTTCCAGTTGTAAACCTGCCTGCGAATTTTATTATTTCCAGGTTCCCGCACTTTATAAAGTCATTGGCTGCCACTAAGTACTGCATTTACAAGGTGATGATAGTTCAACAAGAGATCTTTGAAAGCGATGGAATTACATCGCTACTGTTATGATATCACCATGGAATTGTGTTATATTTTAAACTGTATTATCAACGCGTTCATTTCCAATTTGGTCTTGAAATATTCTTCAAGCAGGGACCAGAATTATGGTAACATGGCCAGCTGGCAACGTAGGCAAGTGTTGATCTACGTTCATATTATGGCGTTTTTACCAGCCTTGCTGTGGGAGATTTGTGGTGATTTTGGTAACGTCCCATTTGGTAAAATTCTGGCAACAAGTTGTTTGCTGAATTCAATTGGAATTTGGTTGTTTCGCTGAGTTATTAGCCGGGGTGTGTTACCGTGTTCAATTTTTTAGTTTACTAGTTTTGTTACTTATCGAGAAAAAATAATTTTTATTCGCCGCAAAACCTACTATTTTTTTGATTTTTAGGTCCTAGGAAGTGTTTTTGTGAATATGGAAAATTACCGTTTATGTCACAGCAGCATTTTTTAAATATTGCAATATTTAAGTAGAGAAATGGATTTGATTTAAGTTTGGTTATTGTATTCTTTCTGTATAATGCGCAGTCACGGTTCCTCTTTTTTTTTTCAAAGCACTACATGCTTTTCTATATTTTTCTTTGAGAAAAAGACTATTTTAACTTTAACTACTTGTAAAACACTGGAAAATTTTACAAATACTGGACTATTTACAGAGAAGTTATTTACAAATGTGGCCTAGGTCTGTGTAGCGGCGGTTCAGTCGCCGTTCTTCTGTTCCTTCAGTTGTTCTCTTTTCGCTTTCCCCACTACCAGGTATTCCTCCCTCCTCACTTACCTCATGGCTTTCCCTATCATCTACAATACTTTTTTCCACAGTTTTTTGTTTTTTTACAGATGACTATTTAGACTGCCGTAGGAAAAGGATGAAAACAACATCCATGCGCATTTTTACTACAGTAATTACGCATAAAAGTAAACGTATTCCTATATTTTTTGAAACCTAACTAAAAGAGGAAAACCTGAAACGGAAATTTACGAAATTAGACGCAGAATACACTTCTTTTTCTCCTCATCATCCCTG